TATCTATCTATCTATCTATCTATCTATCTATCTATCTATCTATCTATCTATCTATCTATCTATCTATCTTTATTCCAGACACAAAAAGGTCCATAGTAAAAAAGAAAGGTAAAAACATAATAAGAGAGAAATAAAAAATAAACATGACATATTCAGAGTCACAAATAAATGATGACGCCAATATTTCCACAATCTTGAGAGAAATCTCACTGTACTAAAAACAGGATTTACTAAAATTGCAATTACATTATTACATGACACAGATAATCTACACATGCTGCACATGTGGGAACAGCATTATATACAAACATGTGGCTAGCACTGCTCCATCTAGGCACTCTGAGCAGTAGCCTCATGCCATCATTGTATGCCACATAAAGTTTCTGCAGGCTCATAATTTTAAACTTACAATGGAAAGGCCTTCAAATATTCTCTCTTTTAAAAAACAAGCTTTGAATTAAATAATTATCAGCATTTTTAAAATAAAAACGTATTTTCAAGTGAATAAATGTTCCAGTATATCTCAGAATAGTGTCTTAAAGAAGGAAAAATGCGAWATAAGCATGCAGTTTTATTTACCTGCCGCTCTGGGGGAACAGTTCCCACTGCAGTCCACTGGGTGGCGGTGCTGCACCACTTACCTCCGCCTCATGCAACAGCGAAGAAGAATCAGCAGAGCAGTAGAAGAAGAACGTGACAGAATTGAGTGAGAAAAATGAATATTTGTGTGTGTTTCTTTTGAATCTCTCTTCGCGGAGCTGTTTGTTGTCGCTCGAGAGGAAACAGTTTGTTTTAATTACTCGCCGTGTGCGTTTCAACCATGGAGAAAACATTCAGCCAGTGGAAGAAACAGTGTCTGAATAAGCTGGACCTGAGCAAGAAAGGCAGCGTGGACCAAGACATTGAACAGGTCGTGTCTCTGCTCAACAGCTGTGAGGAGTTCTTCACCACAAGCTCCTGCTCCGGAAGGATCATCCTCATCGACGGGGTCAGAGGGACTTTTCTCCCTGCTTAACTGTTTTCAGTCTTTCCCTAAATCTACACACTGTCCAAAAAGTCATGAGCACACACTCGTTTTGCTCTGCTGTCAACTCATAGACAGCTCTGTTCACTATATCAAACTCAGTAACCTAGAGCAACTTTCAAATTAACATGTTTTTTTAACTCACAAAGTAGTGTTATACCAACACAAATCGAGATGATTCCCAAAAGAAAGGAATTAAAGAGTAACTTACCCCAAAATTAACTTTTTAGCTGATAAACTGTCTAGAATGTGTCTAAAATGTTATATAGTACTGTTTCTGTGCTAATTTTGATGTTTTTGTGCGTATTTGTTCAAATC